CATTAGTTCCCACTATTTTTCGAGTCGCAACACCATTTACAGCAGCTTGGTCTGAAAATCCATAAAGGAAAGACAAAGATAATGAGAATAAATCAGGCAAATAGTAATGTGGTTTCTCTTAATGGCACCCCACTCCAAGACGTGGTGTCGTACACCTTTTTGGGCTGTAATGTAGATAAAGATGGAGGAACTGATAGAGATATTAAAATAAGAATTCAAAAGGCAAGAGGAGCTTTCATAGTACTAGGGAATTTGTAGCGTTCAAAAGAAATTAAAGGAAATCATCATCATCATCATCAGGTGCCTTGCCGACTGGCGTGGGCGATCATGCCTCTCCATAATCCGCGATCTCCTGCAGCATGTATCAGTTCGTGTGCCGACACACCTCCATGCCATGCAACAAGACTGTCAAGCATCTTCTCTCGTTGTCTTCCTCTATCCCTCCTTCCACAGATCTTTCCAGTGGAAAAAAAAAAAGAAATACTAAACCAAAATTGTTTCAATTCTAATGTCAAATCATTACTTTTTTTATGGGGCTGAAACATGGAGAACAACTAAGGCAATTACTAAAAAATTACAGACATTCATTAACTGGTGCCTGCGCAGAATAGAAGGAATTAAATGGTATGATAGAATTACTAATGTAGACCTTTGGGAGAGAACTACACAGGCTCCAGTGGAACAAGAGGTGAGGAAAAGACGCTGGCGCTGGATTGGACACACACTGAGAAAACAGGAGAACAGCATAACCAGAATGTCTTTGCATTGGATCCCACAGCGGCATAGGAATAAAGGAAGGCCAAAAAACAAAACAAAAAACACATGGAGAAGAGAGCTGGAGAATGAAGTTAGAAAGATGGGGAGGACATAGGAAGAGCTCCATGCAATGGCGAAGGATAGAACGACTTGGCGTGAGTTGGTTGAGGGCCTATGCTCCATTGTGGGATAGAAAGGCAAAAGAAGAAGAAAGAAGAACACCATTTTAAAGAAATAAAGTAAACCTCAAGTAGGTTGATGTGTTTAAGTATTTGGGTACCCTGATGACATCAGCGGCGTCCGTGGCTTAGGCGTTGCCAGTCCGACTCATAATTCCAACATACCCCAATCGAAACCCACTGCTGGCTGCGTGGATTTTTATTATGGTAGAGGGTGTCTCAGGTCGACCGTCCTAAAATGGGTACCAGTATGTATGTCCTGGGGAAGTAAAGACGGCCGGCGTAATGCTGACCACATTACCCACCTAGAGCCGATTGGTCTGTCAAACAATATGGGTGCTCTTCCCATATGCCCGATGAGCGTAAAGGCGTGAAAAGGGATCTTTACTGATGACATCAGATGGAAGATGTATTAAAGAAGTTAGATGTAAAATAGCTCAAGTGAAGGCAGCATTTTACAAAATGAAGAATATTTTATGAATTCTTTCTTTGTCAATTGTGACGGGGGAAAAGCATTCTTAAAAGCTATATATATAATACCTTGAAATACGGGGGCAAATCATGGACAGTTGGTAGATGAGTGAACAATTATTTGGAGGATGGGGATTAAAGACGAATGGCGAGAATACCCTGGACATATCTTCTTCTTCTTCGTGTTCACCAGCTGTAAATTATGGCTGAAAGTTGTGGTTGTTCGTCTACTTCTGGACTGTTGTCCTGCTCCAGAACCTGAGTCTTGCATGCGCATCCATTTTACAGATCTGACCTATCTATATGTAGACTGTTGGTTTCTTGCCTCTCCGGCAGATGCACTACGACTTCGAAGGAAGCTCCCGATTAGTCGACTCTTGCGACATGCTTGTTGGGGAGACAGTGGGTCTCTTCTTGTTTCTGACAACACCCCCCCCCCCCTACCCGCCCACAATGGGACCCCAGAACTCACACACGAATCTGGAAATATCTAAATAGTAATGAAGATTACCTTGATATTCATATTATGCATATTGTTGTATGAACATAACTAGTCTTAGAGATAAAATACAATTGCTGTTTGAAAGATGCGTGTTTGGAAAGGCCGAATATAAGACGGCCTGTGTGCCAAGTTTGAGACCCTTTGAAAATATCGTTCGTTCGTTAGTTCGTCTTTCGTTCGTTCGTTTGCTATCTTGATTGAAAGATGTCAACAACTATGTTCGCTGCTCATTTAATTGTTAAATGAGAGTGTTATTGCGTTTATGTATGTAAGTCAAACCATTACATACTGTAAGAACACTTTAATTCTATATCTACTTTATTCTATTTGAATTTAAAACTTTAAATTTCAGTTGTCTTATAGTTCCATTTTTCAGTTTGTCGTACGTCAAAAATCCCGAATCTTGACTATTATGAAGAGTAGAAACATGAAATTTTGTGTGGACATTCCTTGAACAATATTATATGTAACGCATTATTTTATTAAGATTATTATTTTTTTTTTTTGTAAAGCATATTTTATTAAATTTTTTTAACACATTTTTTTAGAATATACATTTTTTTTTTTACCTTTTTTAAAAAAAATTTGAATTTTAAAATTGTTTTTAAAAATTAAACCAAATTTACTAAAATAAAAAATAAAAAAATAAGCTAGTGCATCGACCCAAAGTATGAGTGAAGTTTACGAAACATTAATTAAATTCTCAATACCTATGTTTGGTTCTGAAATTTGAAAATTTTACCTACATGTGTATTTTTCAAGATGGCGGATGTTGCCATGGCAACAATGAAATTTTTTTTTTTTTTTTTTTTTAAACTTAAAGTGTAAAACTGTATCAACACATATCACTTAAAGCGACCATTATAAACTAATTGGTCTAACAACTTTAATTTAAAAAAGTATACTATTGGGTCTCGGGGAGGGGTATACTGACCCCTTAACCCACAAGAGGGTCATTGAGCTAGGTTTAAGGTTTAGGTTTAAACAACGGATCCACATCTTAGCAGAGGGTAGTTAATCCAAAAGTGCTACGTTCCACTTCTAACTCAAGCCTGAGTCCGAAGAATCTCAGCGCAGTGCACGAACTCCGTAGCACCGGCGAGGATTCTGATTTGCGTAGATTTTTAACTCCAAATTTTTCCCGGGCAGCGCCGTTAGGCCACTCTTTTCGATTTCCAACAGCCAAGGGATTTTTTACCTGCGCAGCATTACACACGAGTGTCCGATCTTACTACCCAGAGACCAGAGAGAATTATTAGAAGTCCACTTGGAAAATTAATACTTTCACCGGGGCCTGAAACCGAGACCTCTAGAACTCGAGGCGGATGCCATGCCTCGAGACCATTCAGCCCCGGCTGAGAACTGTTCCTAATAGTCTATGAAATTAGGTCTCAACAAGAAGAAAGGCGTAGGAAAGAGTGACAGAAAAGCGGATGCAAGATAAACATACGCAAGAATTGATAGTTAGCAGGCTGCTAACAGAGGCCTATTGTTAAAGCCCAACCGGCAAACCAAGTACCGTGACCCTTGATCCGATAAGTTAACCTTTGACCGGACAATCTTTTCCGTAAACTTTTCCTTGTCTGGAATGTGAGTTTGTGCCCAAGTCTGGTAACCAAGGCATGCGAGGAAAGTAATATATTTGGTTACTTAACTAGTTGATTAGCTGGTTGCATTTCTCCGGGGCCCTTTTTGTGGGGCAGAAAGGGGGGGGGGGGGGGAGAATAGACCCATTGCCCCCTAATGAGCACGATGCCACGATTAAAGGGGTTTGCTGAAATAATATATTTTAGGGCGAAAGGCGTAGATATCGCACCCTAGTTGTGAACCACAATATAACTGTAGGTAGGTAAATAGGTAGGTAGGTATTTTGTCTCCTCCAGGATTGCAGTCCATATCATTAAAACACTTCAAAGGTGAAAAATGGACTCCGGACACTTACATAGTAAAGTGAATGCAGTAACGCACTGCGAATTGACTCTACATAAACACAAGATTCCATTTGTTTGTTTATGGGCGAATGCAAACGGAGAAGGTTGGTTGAATTGATTATTTTATGGGTGGCTTAGTCAGTTAGATGTGTTCTTTAACCTGTCGGCTGTGGGACAGTCCATGTGGGTCGTCAAAAATATTTGTCTGAACTTGTAGCGGGCAATGGAACTAGTTTTTCTCTTCCAGAAAATGTGAATATTGATGCATTATATAGCAAATGTGGTAAAGGCCGTGTGGGAGCACGTGCACGCATAAGAGGAGCAAATGGATCACCGCAGTCTGGTGAGTGTGATGCGGCGGAGAGTGACGAGGGGTTCTGACCGATGCTTGACGCTCAGAGGAAAGGCAAGACGGACGTTTAATCAGAATGTTACTGGCACCATTAGTATTGGAACTGCGCTTGTTGCTGAAGATGGGGACATAGATTTTATGTGAATGTCTTGATTGCTGTGATATCGGTTCTTGAATCAACTCAACTCTCTGCCAGAACTGCAATCTGTAGAATTTACACCTCAAATATGAGAATAAGAAGATGTTTCCTTGCTACTGACTGACTGACTTTCTACCCCACCAGGACATCACACAAGCGACAAACACCCGATGACACAAAGTGTCACCATGTGGATCAGGATCACCGTGGAGAGGTCCCAGAAACCGCGTTCGGACAATTGGCCACATTTATGGCCTGCCTATATTGCGGCCCCTGGCAACAGCCAGAGTGGGGCTTCAAATAACCCAAAAACAAAAATTGCGTCCTTAAAGGGACATAAGTATATGATCTGACACATTCCTTGCTACTTCCTAACTTCAGTGAATATGTGTTTTCCGATGGTGTTAGGCCAACTATGTGAAAGATCAATCATCTAATGCTGACAAAGCACAAGATAAATTTTGGTTTGCAATTTCACAAGAAAGATTTGCAGATTAAAATCACTTTAGAATAGTATAAAAATGTGTGCTTAATTTTGTCGAATTCTTAATTCCTCCGCAGCTTGAGAGGTTTCTCTTTGCTTAACAATTTTAAGATAGAGAAATCGCTCCTTATAGAAGACTAACAGAGGGCGCTGCAAGTGACGTCAGGAGAATCGTCCTCGTGCAAGATGGCTGATAACAAATTATACGAACTTCTGGGTGTCGGTAGAAATGCCACAGAGACCGACCTCAAGAAGGCTTACAGAAAGCTGGCAAAGGAATATCACCCAGACAAGAACCCAGATGCAGGTGAAAAGTTTAAAGAGATCAGCTTTGCATATGAAGTGTTGTCCAACCCTGAGAAGAGAGAGGTTTATGACAGACATGGAATTGATGGAATTAAGGAAGGCGGAGGTTCAGGTGGTGGATTTGGCGGAGCCAGCATGTTTGAAGATCTGTTTGGAGGGTTTTTTGGATTTCCTGGATCCGGATCTGGATCAGGAATGGGCGGCAACAGACGAAGGCGGGGGGAAGACACACTCCATCCGTTAAGAGTATCGCTGGAAGACCTGTACAATGGAAAGACAGCCAAGCTACAACTGAGTAAAACAGTTTTGTGTAAAAAATGCAGTGGCGTGGGTGGGAAAAGTGGTGCAAATCAGCGGTGCAAAAAGTGTAATGGTCGTGGTGTGCAAGTACAGCTGCGGCAGTTAGGACCAGGCATGGTACAACAGCTTCAAAGTATATGTTCTGAATGCCATGGAGAAGGAGAGGTCATCAGAGAAAAAGATAGATGTGTAGAGTGTAAAGGGAAGAAAGTATGCAGTGAGACCAAGATACTAGAGGTCCATGTTGACAAGGGGATGAAGGATGGCCAAAGGATTCCTTTCAGGGGTGAAGGTGACCAGCAGCCCGGTGTGGAGCCAGGTGACGTAGTAATCATTCTGCAGCAGAAAGAACATGAACTCTTCACGAGAAAGGACTCTGATTTGATTATGGAGCGCAGTATATCTCTGACAGAGGCTCTCTGTGGCTTTCATTTTGTGATCAAACACTTGGATGGGCGTGATATAGTGATACGTAACCAGCCTGGCGAGATCATATCTCCAGGAAAACTGAAAATGGTGCCTGAAGAGGGAATGCCACAGTATAAGAACCCCTATGAAAAGGGCAACTTGTATATAAACTTTAGCATTGATTTTCCTGAGAGGAATTTTGCTAGTGAAGATAAACTGAAGCTATTGGAGACACTTTTGCCTCCTCGCCCACGTGTGGAGATTCCCACAGGTGAACATGTGGAGGAAGTTGATCTGATCGAGTTTGATGGCAGTAAAAACTTCCACGGCTCTGGTTCTAGAGTCGAAGCATATCATGAAGATGGAGACGAAGATGGGCATGGAGGACAATCGCGAATGCAGTGTCAACATCAATAATGATAGGCTTCTCTTTATGTGGACAATTTAGTTACCCGTTTATATTTTTTTTCCACCTGTCCGTATGTTTTTTTGCTTTGAATGGTTGTATAAAAAAAAAATTTACATAACTTAGCTGTCAATTTTGAGATTTGTCAATGAGATATGATACGTGGTGTGAATACAAATAAAGGGATATGTGAACCATTGGTAGATGTGTAAAGTGTTGTGTTGTCAGCCACCTTGTACCTCTTCCATTCCTTACAGTATTTATAACTGCAGTTTGTATGTTTTTTTGGGGGTCACTTAATAATCAACTTTCTCAGTTTTACAGGCATTACATATTTAGGTTTCATTTTTGTAGTTACACTTGACACACATTCTAAAATGAATTAATAAATTATTATTAATCATCAAAAAAAAAAAAAAAAAAAAAAAATTATTGTCACAGGACGTTAACTGTAGCAACTGGAAACAGCCACAAACAACAGCTTTGTGACACTCTGAATGAAAAACAAAATTTCAATTCTGATAAAATCAAAGATGAGCCAGCTTATTCATGTGTGTGTATGTGTGGGTGTGTGTGATTAAACACTTTAATGTGTTGTTGTTTTTTTTTAAATAAAATTAAACATTTGGCAGCTTTTGGTGTATTTTGGTACCTTATGCAAAACACACTGGTACTATTCCGAGACAAATTTCGACAGCCTTGGTTGGAAGTAGAAAAACAGACACACAGGCCTTTTACTATACACAATGGACGATTACAGTCACTTCAGATTCCTCGCTGTTGCTGCTAAGTTGTAACACTGATTTCTGTTAAAATAGGTAAACACAGCGGAAAGGAATTCCGCTTGTTGATGAACTTGATCTTCCGCTCAAGGCTAACGTAGCTGAGCTGTCAAGTGAGGGGAATTTTAATGAGTGGTTACGTATTTTTGAACTTGACTCAGGTGGTCATTATATGTGACACTGTCGACACTCTCCGTTTTGGTTTGAATACTTCCCACTATCTGCTTTTGTGATTATATTCAGGGTATATATTCAGCTCATAATTAAGGTGAAATGCAACTCAACCACAATCTTAAGGAGTACCCTGATAACAGAAGGTGGAAGATGTTCATTTCTTTAACAGTTTAAATGTAGAATATATCAAGCACAATAAGCATTTTACCAAATGAAAAATTTTCTTTGCAATCATTATTTGTCATTTGAGAGGTGAAAGAAGATTATCGAGAGCAGTGTAAATTATATCCTCATATACGAAAGTGAATCATGGAGAGCCGGACGATTCGTGAAAAAATATTCGAAATCAGAGACGTGCTTTTATAGATAAACGATGAAAATACCGTGGGTAGATGCACACACACAAAAATCAAGATATCTTGAAAGAAACTAACTTCCAAAAAAAGAACTGACTGCCCACATGAGAAAGAGGCAATCTACATTCTTTGCTTATGTTGTGAGAAGAGAAAACTGGAGTACATCGTGACGAAGGGAAAGTTGGGGGAGAGGAGACGGAGGGAGAACCAGAGGGAGAACCAGAGAGAAGATGCCAGGCAATCTGAGATCATGATATGGAAGATCATCTGTGTAGTAGTAGTAGTAATAGATTTTTACCCCACTAGCACATCACACAAGCGATTAACACCCGATGACACAAAGTGTCACCATGTGGCTGAGGATCACCCGTGGAACCGCGTTCAGCCATTAGACCATAATTATGGTCGGGTTATATTGCGGCCTCTGGCAAGAAACCCGGGGGGGGGGGGGGCTTCAAAATATAGACAAATTGCATCTCACAAGGAGATAATTGGATATGGTGATAGATCATCTGTGTCAGAACCGATCAAAAGTATATGCGATAGAAGGTTGTTGATACACATGAATACCATCGCCCCACACGGCATTGGCTATGAGAAGAAGAAGAGGAAGAAGAAGAAGAAGAAGAAGAAGAAGAAGAAGAAGAAGAAGAAGAAGAAGAAGAAGAAGAAGAAGAAGAAGAAAAGAAGAAGAAGAAGAAGAAAGAAGAAGAAGAAGAAGAAGAAGAAGAAGAAGAAGAAGAAGAAGAAGAAGAAGAAGAAGAAGAAGAAGAAGAAGAAGAAGAAGAAGAAGAAGAAGAAGAAGAAGAAGAAGAAGAAGAAGAAGAAGAAGAAGAAGAAGAAGAAGAGAAGAAGAAAGAAGAAGAAGAAGAAGAAGAAGAAGAAGAAGAAGGAAGAAAGAAGAAGAAGAAGAAGAAGAAGAAGAAGAAGAAGAAAGAAGAAGAAGAAGAAGAAGAAGAAGAAGAAGAAGAAGAAGAAGAAGAAGAAGAAGAAGAAGAAGAAGAAGAAGAAGAAGAAGAAGAAGAAGAAGAAAAAGAAGAAGAAGAAGACAGTGATACCTTGGCTAGCGAGTGACTTGGCTAACGAATTTTTCACATAACGAAGACATTTTCCGCTGCTTTAATAACTGAGCCTCTTACATTGTGAATGGCTGATCTGTTGGACTCATCAAAGAACTCTACTCGCACTAATAAGCATTGTTTTTTAGGATGCTGTACTCCCGAGATCCTGTTCGACTTTCTTGAACACTTGATTAACAGTTATGCAGCACACACTCACACACTTTCAGTTATTCAACATGTTGTTTTATTGTTGTTATGCACTTGATTACTCGTCATTTAAAACGCGTCATTGTTATTTAACACACGATTCAATATTTTTCTACACATGAATAACACACGCTTGTAATGTTACCACGCCACTCACTGATATTTCCACACGTTTCTTTACACTATCACGTACATCCATTTAGAGTTCAGTTATCATATTTAAATAATTTGAGTAAACATCTAAGTAAATGTCCCTTTTCCGCGCCTTTAGGCGTATAGGGCATATAGGACTTGACCTTTATTTTTATAGACCAATCGGCACAAGATGGGTGATGTGGTCAGCATTACATCGACCGCCTTTACTTCCCGGGACTGCAGCCGGTACCCACTCAAGGCTGAAATCAAGGTCATTTTAATTTTAAAGTCCAGCTTTGCCAGGGAACGAACCCACGACCTACCGATCTGCACGCGAACGTCTAGTCGCTACGCCACAACGACTCCGGAAACATCTAACTAGGAATCTAAATATGACTGGTATCTAAAAGGTGAAGGGGATAAATATCTACTACTGCCCTATGTGTCTCCTTAGCAGATCTGACTATTATACTCGTGTTCAAACAATCAGGAGCCGTCTCGGTAATAAGGGTTGGCTGCAATGGGTGAGAAACAGAAAACTGAAGTACATCGTGACAATAGGAAAGTTAGAGAAGAAGAGAGAGGATCCAGAAGGAGTCTAAGAGAAAAAGTGCTGGCATCATGGTATGGAGGATTATCTGTGTCAGAGTTGATTGAAAATACACGAGACAGAAGGTTGTGTATAGACATGACTACCAATGCCACACGGTGTGGACTTTAAGAAACAGAGGCAACAGATCGTTAACATTCGCTTTCTCTCATCCTTGTTGTTCATTCTGTGAAGCTACTTCTTGTTCAGCTCTTGATATTAGCCACAAACATCGCGGTCTAACTCTTGCTGGTTTGTCCACGACACTTACCCCTGGATGATTTTTAAGAATGTTGTGGTTTTTTTTTTAATGGGTCTGACATATTTCACTTATCTGTTTCTCCTTTCAGTGACTCTCTCTTTATTTCCAGTCTATTCGTAAATCACGACCTATTCTGTAAATCCACGTCTTCAGAGACTCGGGAGAACTTTCTTATTGTTCTATACGTATTGGGTCTATGGTTATAGCGCGGCTGTATGTAACTATGCAGGCCTCATATGCAAACGGAAATTCCCATTGTTGTGAAGTTCCGGAGGCTGGTCTGTGTTCTCCATTTTAATCAAGTAGATTTATACACAAATTAAACAAAAGTTTAAACAATTTGCAACACATTTTAATGAATTATATATCATTTTGAAGATAAACAAGTGTGCTGAAAAAAAAACTATAACAGAGGTCTACAACAGAAGGCTGTAGGCTTTAGTTTCCATTACGTTTTGTTCGTAATCCAGTGACTGATGACTCCTAAATAAAATATGTTATTAAATATTTATTGTAAGAGATTAATTAGATTGACCATAGAAACTAGCTGGTCCTTAACAAAGCTGTACTTTATCCGCTATTTATTTTAAGACGTTATGCCTATGAAGTAAAGTAAGATATTTTGACAACATTAAAGATTAAAGTGGTTGAGAAAAAAAAAATGTTATAGGAGGGGATGGTGTGGTTCCTGTGAGAGGTGGCAATTACTCGGGGCATTCACGTCTCCTTTTCCCACCTGCTGTCCGCAATAGAGCCATTTATGCCCAAACTTTCAGGCGATATTCTGCAAACATGTCCAAACCATCTACGTCTTCTTCATGGCATAAGGTTTCCTAGTGATGAACATTTTGCTATCCTCATCAGTTCTTCATGTTGGATCTTGTTTGGTCTAAAAACGTGCATGATTTTCCTTATACATTAATTTTGAGACATCTCCTAGTGCCTCTACCTTAAGCTATCAAGCCTCCTTTTCGTGTCTAGTAGCCGATTCTTATAATTCGGAACTTTTTAATTATAACGCTGGTCTCTTCGCATGACCAAAGTATGCCATTTCGAGATAGTGTCCGTTTGTGCATGCCAGCGTGCGTACGGAGGCATGCTATTATGTATAGATCCACAGCTAAAAAAAATTTCTCACGGTCCTCATCTGGCAACGTATTCATACAACCCAAAGCCCACTTCACATCACGCCAACAATTATCAAACACCTCTACGCTGGTTTTAGACCCGGCATAATAAATTCTCTCACGGTGACGGCAATACATAAGGTTTGTAGGGCAAGCATTCATGTTGTCAATTGTATAGATCAGCGTTCTTAAACTTGTGGGCCGCGGAACAGTCCCAGTAGGCCGCAACACTATTTCTTTCTCCTTATCAAAAAACGTGGCAGAGTAGGTAATTTTTCTATCACAGGACTAGAGGTTTCGTGGTCTCGAGACATGGTG